CYKSMTGAGCAGCAGCAGAGGCTTGGAARGTTGTTGGGATAATGGGAAARGGCTCTGTTTGCATCATTKCAGTGCCARGTGCTGGGTTAAGCTMCTTTTGTCCTGGCTCTGCCCACGGGGGAACCTGGAGTCTCCCAGGAAAGCCATTAGTCAGAGAATAAAACACACAGGCTGCAGGCAGAGGAGCAGCAACTGCTTAACAGCARAATCATATCAGAGAAGCTGTGGCTGCCCCTGGATCCCTGGCAGTGCCCAAGGYCAGGCTGGACGGGGCTKGGAGCAGCCTGGGACAGTGGAAGGTGTCCCWGCCATGGCAGGGGTGGGATGGGATGAGSTCTAAGTTGTCTTACAAYGCTGAATCTCTGATTCTGTGATTTTTAATGATGTCAGACTTCCTGCTGCCCTGTGAAGGGGGGACTCTTGAGGGAGATGCTGGAGTGGCACACGTGGTTTCACCGTGAGCAGAACTGCTCCCCAATGCAGGGACCCTGATGCTGTGGCAGCCTTTGGGGGGCAGGGGCAGAAGTTGCAACAAAAGGAAGGAAATTCATAGAAATTGAGAGCAACAAAGGCAGTGAGGTGTGTGTGGTTTGACCATAGATTTGTGTTGGGAGGRACCTTAAAACTCACACAGTGCCACCCCCTGCCATGGCAGGGACACCTTCCACTGTCCCAGCCCTGTCCAGCCTGGCCTTGGACACTGCCAGGGATCCAGGGGCAGCCACAGCTTCTCTGGGCACCCTGTGCCAGGGYCTCAWCACTCTCACARGGRAGAAGCAGCACAGGAACAGCTTACTTGGTGTAAGAAATAGTTGTTACGGGGTGCRTCTGCACTCAGCTGCACAGAACAGGGTGATGGAGAGGAAGGGGATGTCCCATTCCTCCCAGCACAACCCCATGGCTGGCAGCAGGATTTTTTTATGATGAACAAGCCTTTACTTTTTATTGCACATAACTGTCAGATTTCCCGGAGACCTCGCAAAATGGATTTGCAAAAGAAAAAAAAGAGATGCCCCCTGCCCCCGTTCCTAACTGTTAAATCAATACAACAAGTAATTTAGGAGCATATGGTGTATTTTTCTATGATCAAAAGCATGTCAGCACAAGGAAACACATTATTACTGCAATTTACCTTTCTCTTTTTGCCCTGCAGTCATTACTCTTTGGGGCTCATTGCAATAAAAGAGGGAATCGCTCCCAATCCAGAGCAGATTTCCTATTAATCTTATGGACCACAAACTGCTTTGACTTTCCCAGTGCTGCTGCTCCATGCCTCAGCTGGGAAGGAAATAGCTCAGTTTGGGGATATTTATTTGCTTGGATTTCTTTGCATTTGATGATGGTGTGTGGATTTTTTYCCCCTCCTGTATTTTATGGTGGTTTCTCTGCCTCTTCACCCTTCTGGCACCATCCTTTTGCTTGACAGGATCCTTTCTACAAGACTATCCCTACAAAGGGGGCTATGAATGGACTGCCTCTCATAATGAGGATCTGAAGCACCAGGAGGGGCTGAGGGAGCTGGGGGGACTCAGTCTGCAGAAGAAGGAGGTTCAGGTAGCTGGAGATCTTTCCCTAAGTCCAGCAGTGTCTTTGATTCCTGGGAAGATACCTGGAGAGGTGCTGTGAGCCTCCTGGGGACACTGAATCTTTTCCAGGCTGGTGCCAAAGAATCAAGGCCAGTGCTCRTCACAGACCCCAGAGTCTTGGAGAAAAAAACATTGCAATTATTCCCTAAAACCTATAGTTTTCCTAAACTTCCCATTTCTCATTGATGTGAATGTGCAGAGACATCTGGAATCACTGAATTTCTCTGCCCAGGGAAGATTTTGGGGTTGGCAGCAGGGACTGAATCCCTAGGGAGGATGACATCTGTATGAAGTGATTTCTGTTGGGGGCCATCACATTATTCCCTGGAGAGGAGCAGAAGCTCCTAAGAGCTTTATTCTGCCAGGCAGGAGGACTAATATTTTTTAAAGCAGCTTTTAAATAAATAGAATGAACTGTGCTTATGGTGCTGGGATRATGGCAATGGGCTCAGGTTAAACGCAGATTTCCTCAGTTCGGTCACTTTGAGGCAGCTGGAGTTTTATTTGGTCACCACTACTGAAACARCTTGGGGAAAGGGGAATTTAAAGGTGTGTGAGTGGTGGGGAATGRGAAAGGAGGAGGGAGAATAGTCCTGTTTTGCTCTCTCCATGGGGCTTTTGGGATGCTGGTTACCAGAGCAGGGCCAAAATTGGGATGGAAGTGGAGGCACAACGGCTTTGGCATCMAACCACTTTGATGCCAACTTGAGCCATGCATGGAGAGAGGTGGGTGATGCCAGTGGGGGTGGCAGCAGCCCAGTTCTGCAGCAATCCTTTCCCCTTTGGAAGCAAATCCWGCCAGGCCAGGGCCAGGCGAGCTCTGATTGCTCCATGGGGAATCCCAGCGTTTTTGGCATCCCCAGCACCAACGTCACAAGCAGGAATTTTCCCCACAAATGGCTTTTCTAGCTTGAAAGAGCTGAAAACCAGCCCTGCCTGAAGGAGCTGGAGAGGGAAGAGAGAGATGCAGCAGGAAGAGTGATTAGGTTGTCCCCAGGTGTTTGCTCACCCCCGGCAGAACACAGTTTCCCTCCCGACACCGCTTGTACTTCCCATTAGTCAGCTCTGACCTTTCAGCGCCGTAATCAAACAAGACAACCCAACACTTAAATCTGAGCRTTTAGTGCTGACATTTACAATTGGTTCTCGAGCTGGAGAGACCAAATGAAAATTTCCTGGCAGACAGCATGCTGCAGGGCACGGGAATCAAATAATTCCTCTGCTGGATCGCCGGTGTGTCGGCCCCCTTTGGCCGGCCGGTGCAGCAGGTGGTATTTGGGTTAGAACAGTGTCATTGGAAAGTCAATATTCACCTGGAGTTTATGTGRTCCCACAGACATCACTCCATCAGGGCATGAGGAAACTGGCTTTGGCATTTGATGGATGTAAACAGGAGAGATCTTACCCAGGAGGGAGCCCTGCGGCAGCGGGGAAGCTGCGTTAAATGTTAGTGATCCGAGGTGGTAATGAGGGTGTTTGCTCTCGTTCAGGCTCGGCTGAATCCTTGCTTGGAAAATGAGCACTTGGTGCATCCTGTGGGGCATCCCTGGGTGCATCCCTGGGTGCATCCCTTGGCACATTGCTTGGTGCATCCCTGGTTGCATCCCTGGGTACATCCCTTGGCACATCCTTTGGCACATCCCTTGGCACATCCCTTGGCGCATCCCTGGGTGCATCCCTTGGCACATCCCTTGGTGCATCCCTTGGCACATCCCTTGGTGCATCCTTTGGCACATCCCTTGGTGCATCCCTTGGTGCATCCCTTGGTGCATCCCTTGGTGCATCCCTGGGTGCATCCCTTGGTGCATCCTTGGGCACATCCCGGGGTGCATCCCTTGGCCCATCCTTTGACACATCCCTTGGCCCATCCCTTGGCCCATCCCTTGGCCCATCCTTTGGCTCATCCCTTGGTGCATCCTTTGGCACATCCCTGGATGTATCCCTTGGCCCATCCCTTGGAACATCCCTGGATGCATCCCTTGGTGCATCCCTTGGCACATCCCTTGTGCATCCCTTGGCCCATCCCTTGGCACATCCCTGGATGCATCCCTTGGTGCATCCCTCAGTTCATCCCTCCACAGCCCTGTGTGCCGCATGGTGGTAACTTGACTGTGCCATCCTTGTGCACATCCCTGGTCAGGGATTGTCTTTTCCAGCCCCATCTCTGCAGGAATTGAGCCCTGATCAGTGGTTTTTGCCTGCTGAGGATGAAAGAGTGGGGTATGCTGAGAGCCCAGGCATCCCTGGGAGCCCCCAGGTCCTGCACCCATCCCACTGTGGCTCCCCTTGTCTTCATGCAGCATCTTCTCCCATGGGATAACTTCCCACTGGAGCCCCTTTATGAAGTTAAATCCATTCAGAAAGTGTCTGGACAAGGTTTCCCACGCTGCTGCTCATGATGTTCCATACTCCTTCTGCCTCACCCCAACAGCAGCTGGGCTGCAAACCAGGACAGCACTGCTCCCCYTCCCCTGCCCAGGAGCAGCCTCATCCCAGAAATAGGTGTTAACAGTTCAAAATGCTCCAAATCAGGGGCCTTTTCTTCCTTTGCTAATACAGCATTTGAATGAATTAATACTTTTTTTTTTTTTTTTAAATTATAGAAAACAGGGCTCGAGCTATCCAAAACACTCTTGCTGTATTTTCCCAGCATTGCTCCATGTGCTGCGTCCCTGAAGCTCCAATGTGTTCCTGTGTAGGGCCACCCCATCAGGATTTGACATAAGAACTGGGGTCACCATTTGTGTCTACAGCTACAGATTCTTGGGGTGTCCYRTGCAGGGCCAGGAGCTGGACTCAATGATCCTTGTATCCAACTCAGGATATCCCATGGCTCTATGAAAAGCAATTTYTTTTTTTTWWAAAAGGCTTATTTCTCACTTTTATCAGATTGCACCTAAAAATTGCACTTTCAATGTGGTCAGCTCTCAAATGTGGGTTTGGGCATCCAAACACCCCATCTTGCTCTGTGGGTGCTGCTGGAAACCAGGGATTGAAGGCAGAGATGTGCCCCCAAACTGCAAAGACCAGATAATTGATAATTTCCCTAGTCCCTGCTGCTTTCTCCCATGTTCCTCTACCTCTCATTCTTATGGAAAACATTCCTCCTTTCCTGCCTCCCTGGTGCTGGGTGCTGGGTGCCCTTCACAGGTGGTTCTTCTCCATGGGA